TCAAAAAGTGGAGAGGCTTTCGCAATAACCGTCAATTTCAAAAGAAAGAAGACAAATGTGAGGAAAAGAATAAGAATGTTGTATGTTATGATTGTGACAAACCAGGTCACAAGAGAATCGAATGCCCCAATAAGGTGAGGTGATCCCCGCATCGGGTTTGTTTTTCATCCCTACTCGCAAAGTATCAGGAAAGCTTATATGGTTCATGAAGATTTTCAGTTGGTTTTCTTGATAATCTGGGAGAATGTGGATGTTGGCCTGCTAAAAAAGTGGATAAATTATAGTCGGTTGCACAGGAGCAAGTATGGGATTTTAATAATCCTTAAGAACTTCTCTTGGCGAATCTGGTTATTTTGGTGCATCTGGTGTTAATTGAACTTAATTTTGATTTTCTGCCATGTCTCTTGCTTCTTTATGTTCTTTTCTTCGTTGTTTGAAGATTTTTTCGATCTCGGAAATCCAATGATAGGAGCTCGATTTCTTTAGAATTTTGCATAAATTGCCAAAAAAAATATATAATAGAAAGAAAGAAAAATTCGAATATTATATGACTAATAATCTCAAATTAAATACTTTATTTCCCAACAGAGGCGCTAAAAATTTGTTCGTGTGAAACCCGCAAGCATACAAGATCGTTGATGAGTAATCGAATTGATGAGTGAAGAGTATCATCTTATAGGGAATAAATTCAATTCAAGTTTAAATTCCTTGCTAGGGTTAAATTCAATTCAAGTTTAAAATTTGATGTAATTGGCTTAAATTCCTTGCTAGTGTTTGATCTTCTCTCATAAAAGTGATGAATTGACCTCTTTTTTATTTTTTTATGAATTTGATGATATTATTGTGTATGAAAAGGCAATAGAGAGTTTTTAATGTCTAGCCCTTGTTTTGTATTTATAAGAGCTAGAAAATACGTCAAAATCACGTACAATTTGTGTTCCAAAAAAGTTTGAACCGCGAAAAGAAATTGTTGATTCATATGCAGAAATGGCCCGCATCGTTGATGAGTAGTTTTGCTTTGGTAATTAAATTTTCAGTCTCGTGAGCGTGCCAAAAATGGCCCACATACGTGCGCAGGTTCGTGGAGTTCATCTCTTAGTGGCTTTCGATATTTTAATCATAACCTTATCTCTCGATAATCAAAATGCGTTGAAAAGATAACTTAATGGGACACAATTATTCAAAAAATAAATTTTTTCTAATTCGAATGTTTGCTATCCGAAAAATGGGTCTTAAGTTGAAGCTAAAAATCTGGAACCTAACTTCTTCGGTTGGAAATTGATTTGTGAAAATATTTCAACTATATTTCACTCATTTGACCTTCGATTGCATCCAATTGATCATATGTTATTTTCAATCATCATTTTGTGGTCTGAATCAACTATTGAATGTTTACACTTTGATCCCCAAACTTTAGATTTTTTTTCCTTTTTGCCATTTTTCGCTCATTTCTTCTAGTTCCACAAATTTGTATTGAGTTAAACCTAACAAATATAATTAATACATAATTAAGCTATAACTCATCCAAACCGTTAATAAATACTCCAATTTAATGATGTAGATAAGTGTACAAAATACACTTATAAATCGTTCTTGGTTTTCATTGGTTTGGGGTTGGGGAGGAAGTGAGTTTTCATTTCATTTTTCATTTTTTGGTTTTTTAATATAATTTTTAACTTATTTTATTTATAAAATATAAAATTGGTCAAGATTTTAGGTCAACTATCGTATGGACGAATCCGTTTAGTTGTATTTGTGCTGAACAAAATGAAATGTTTGATATTATAGTTGACATAAATGAAAGATTTGTGTAAAGTGTGCAAAAAATGAAGGGTTGGGTTCGCAGCTGCAATTATGCCTTATTAAAGCACGGTTTGTTTCAGATTAAAATCAGATTTTATTTAAATCAAACTTAAACAATCAATATTAACCAAATCTTTTAGAGATCCCACAACTTTTAAACCTCATATTTTAAATTTTTTTATCACAATTTAATAAAAATCTAATTTTATTGCCCGCCAAAAGACCTACTTATATTCGTTCACCCACAATATTCATTCACCCGTGGATAAAGACTTCATCTGGTAAACCAGAAAGCACTTATTTTGCATAAAAGGAGTTTTCTTGGTTTTCCGGCATGGCCATTTTTCGACTCTTGATTCTTCTGACTATTGCATCCACATCATTCTCCCTATCAACCATCCAATTCTCGACGAAAACGCAAACCTTCTTGGCCTCCGACAGGATATCCGGCCACCGGAAAATCCCTAATGATTTGTACTGCGAGAGCTGGACGTTCACGGTGGAGACGAATGATGCCGGGATCTGGGCTCTGGTTCCGGCGAGGTGTAAGGGATTTGTGAAGGACTACATGACCGGCGACAAGTACTTTTCGGATTTAGCGGCCGTGGCCGACAATTCCTTGGCATATGCGAAGAAGGTAAAACTTTCCGGCGACGGGAAGGACGCTTGGATCTTTGACGTTGACGAGACATTGCTTTCGAACGTTCCCTTCTACGCCAGCCACGGATTTGGGTAACTCTTAATGCATTTTAAATTTGTAGATAATCGTTTAAATTTCTGATATATGATCAATGGATTTTGTTTTAGCATGTGATTGGGGTTTACATATAAATCTGAGATATGCTATGAGTACAGGAAATTCAACAGAAAAATTCATCCTGTGAATTTTCCTGTACGTGCAGACTTTTTGTATAATTGTGGTTGCCTTTTGATATCCATGGCTATAACTGAAAGCTGATTGAAAGTATAGGACCATTCAACAATTAACTTTCTTTGCCTAAGCTTACAAAATTCACTTATAAGTGAATAATTAAATTTGAAAATAAGGGAGATAGCTATTTTCATCTACAATTTTAAAAAGTATCATCCTCGATTCCTCATCCAAAAACAAATTCTCTAGTTTACCGTCTTTGACAGTAACATTGACATGTATGATTTTTTACTTTAATTTTTTATTCTCTCCTCTCTTATATATATATATGTATATATATTTTTTTCAATAATATTTATAAAATATTATTGATTATACTAATTACAGTTATAGTTGCACAGAGAAACCTTTTAAAGTTGAAGTTGATAAGTTCTTACCTTTAGTCAACAATGTCAATTAAATGGCTGAATAGATTGAACATTGTCTCTATTGAAAAAAAGTTTTAAATACATTAATTTTAATATTATAATTTTTAATTTTCTATCAAAAATTCTAGGAAATAGTCATTTTAATTTAATTTAAACATTTGAAAGTTTTAGGTTATTATTATTTTTGTGTAATTTTGAATATTTTAATTTAATAAAAATTATTAATATATATATTTAATATTTATAGAGGCTCATATTTATAGGTAGCTTGAGGTCCCCAAAAATCTCATGGCCGACCCTGAATTAGTCGTATACATTTATATAGGAGTGGAAAAGGACGATATGAAATTTAGATATTGAAAGAAAAACGTGTTTTTTAGTTGTTCATCTTTTAATTTCTATTTGCCAATTGGATTTTATTTTTGGGTGCTTAGTCACTTTGTCTTTGTCTCACCGATCTTGCATGCTTTAATACGCTGAAATAAATTAAGCGATGAAAATTTAAAGAAATGCAATGAATCATAGTTGAAGAAGATGGTGTCTCTTCCATTGTTTGTTTTGACTTTAGTAGAAGAAGATATTTTCATGAATATTAGGATTTTAGTTAAATGTAAAGTTTAAAAAACTATAAAAGGTTCAAAGAATTTAATGAGGATAAATATTAATGGATGGATTTAGAATGATAAATTTTATTTGATTTTATTGTTGTCTATTTATGCAAATTTACATAAGTTCAAAAATATAATATATATATTTTTGAAAGTGGATAGATACATAAAAATGGTGGATAAAAATAATAACTCCCTAAAATAATTTTCGTGCTTGTTTATATGGAATGAACCTATTTGATAAGGGAGGGATACATCGAAATAGACTCACTCTATAGCACAGATACTTCAACTAGAGTAGCGGTCTGTATCCGACACTATTCAGACACTCCATTATAGTCATTTTTTTTCTTTATAAAAAATATTATATATTTTAACTCAAAATTGTTATTACATAACAAATAGGTACTCATATTTAAAATATTTCAATGAGAAAAATAATACTAGTATAAAAATAAAATTTATACTATATAAATAAAGAATTTTAAATAATTTAATTAACATGTCAACTTCGTATCATGTCAATACTTTTTTGAAAAATCACGTGTCGGTGTGTATGCATTATAGTAGACTCCCAAAGGAATAGTGCTTGGGGCAAAATATTGGGCATGATCTTGGATGACACGGGGCTAGATTGTGTCCCTCCATCAGCTATAAATTTTGGAAAATGTGATTGCATCTCCATACATTAGTTGGTATTAGAGCTGCAGGCCCCATATTCAATTCTCCAAGGAGGGGAGAATGATTTAGGGCATCACTGAACATGCATGGAGGGTGAGTCTATTTCTTAAAGGTGAAGACCAAACAGACAGTGAGGTGGATTCTTGGGCCTGATGGTTGTGATATAGGATTAGATTGTGCCTCTCCTCTCATATCAGTTATAGTCTCGTGCAAAATTTGGAAATTGTTCAGTGCCATGGAAATTAATGATAATTTTTGCTGGTTGTCTATCATATCGAGAAACTACCATGTTGTTTATTACGTTGTTCCATTTTTATACCTACCTATGATGAGTCTTAAACTGAAGAAGTGAAGGATAATTTTGAAAAGAACATGATTGTGTGGCATGACTAGCTTTGTCTAAATTCTGATTTGCGCGAAGTTTAAATTTAACTACTCATACCAGAGAACTGATGCTTGCATGGCTTGTAGAGAATAGCTATCTTATTTGATGTGACCCTTAATTGAGCCCGGATTGAGCTTCAATCGTTGAAGTATTGATTTTTTTGGAGTACATACAAATCTTAGCCTCAAATATTTTGTCCTCTTCTTCTTCTAACAAGGTTTTTGACGTATGAAATCAGCTTGGAAAAATAGAACAATACAAAGTCACAATATGCAACTTGCGATGAGAGTTTAAGAAATCATACTCAATAGAATCATTATGCCTTTTCAATTGTAAATGATTTCTAGTTACGCTTTTTTACCCTTTTGAGGAATCGGGCTGTTAATGTTGTCTAATGCTTATTAGTTACAGAGGTACCTTAATATGCTACTCGTGGTTTCTCACTTTAAAGCACATCCAAACATGCTCTTAGGCTAATCAGCTACTCATGGAACCAGATTTGGTTATATGCTTTTCTACCCTTTTGAGGAATTGGGCTGTTGATTTTTGCCAATGCTTATTAGCTACTTAGGGTGTGTTTGAATCTAATTTTGAGGAGAATAGAAATTTTGGAATAGTGATTGATGTGAGAATGTGTGGTGGAAAAGTGATGAAAATTTTTTGATTTGTGTGTAATATTATTTTATTTAAAGAATGTGTGGTTGAAATGAAGAATGAGAATGAGAATGGAAATGAGAATGAGAAATTAATGGGTGCCAAACGGGGGCTAAATAAAGAATTTTAAATAATTTAATTAACATGTCAACTTCATATCCTGTCAATACTTTTTTGAAAAATCACGTGTCGGTGTGTGTGCATTATAGTAGACTCCCAAAGGAATAGTGATTGGGGCAAAATATTGGGCATGATCTTGGATGACACGGGGCTAGATTGTGTCCCTCCATCAGCTATAACTTTTGGAAAATGTGATTGCATCTCCATACATTAGTTGGTATTAGAGCTGGAGGCCCCATATTCAATTCTCCAAGGAGGGGAAAATGATTCAGGGCATCACTGAACATGCATGGAGGGTGTGCCTATTTCTTAAAGGTGAAGACCAAACAGACAGTGAGGTGGATTCTCGGGCATGATGGTTGTGATACCTATGATGAGTCTTAAACTGAAGAAGTGAAGGATAATTTTGAAAAGAATATGATTGTGTGGCATGACTAGCTTTGTCTAAATTCTGATTTGTGCGAAGTTTAAATTTAACTACTCATACCAGAGAAATGATGCTTGCATGGCTTGTAGAGAATAACTATCTTATTTGACGTAACCCTTAATTGAGCCCTGATTGAGCTTGAATCGTTGAAGTACTGATTTTTTGGAGTACATTCAAATCTTAGCCTCAAATATTTTGTCCTCTTCTTCTTCTAACAAGGTTTTTGACGTATGAAATCAGCTTGGAAAATAGAACAATACTAAGTCACAATATGCAACTTGATATGGGAGTTTAAGAAATCATACTCAGTAGAATTATTACGCCTTTTCTATTGTAAATGATTTCTAGTTACGCTTTTCTACCCTTTTGAGGAACAGGGTTGTTAATTTTGTCTAATGCTTATTAGTTGCAGAGGTACCTTAATATGCTACTCGTGGTTTCTCACTTTAAAGCACATCCAAACATGCTCTTAGGCTAATCCGCTACTCATGGAACCAGATTTGGTTATATGCTTTTCTACCCTTTTGAGGAATTGGGCTGTTAATTTTTGCCAATGCTTATTAGCTACTAACCAGATTTGGTTATATGCTTTTCTACCCTTTTGAGTAATTGGGCTGTTAATTTTAGCCAATGCTTATTAGCTACAGATATATCAGAAATATGTTATTCATGGTTTCTTATTGATTGCATTTGTACACAGATCAGAGATCTTTGATGAAGTTTCTTCTAATAAGTGGGTGGATATGGCCAAAGCACCATCTATTCCTGCAAGTTTAGGGTTGTATAAGGACCTTAAGGAACTTGGGTTTACAATAATTTTATTGACGGGTCGGACTGAGTTACAAAGGAATGCTACAGAACGTAATCTGCAGCATGCTGGGTACAGCAACTGGGAAAGGCTCATCTTGAGGTAGATATAATTCAATGTCAATCTCGAGTTTGTACATTGTTCATTTTCTATATCACTACTAGACTCCCATTCAGTATTGTGTACCAAACATGCAGGATAGGTGTCTCATAAATACTGCTTTTTTGGCTAGCGTCAGTAGATACAAATATATGAAACAATTCTGTGAACATGAAGGACTGATTTGTGATATTTTGTGGATGAAATAGGAAACGTTCTGATAGTGGTAAACCGGCGACCATCTATAAATCTGAGCGGAGGAAGCACTTAGAAGACAAAGGTTACAGAATTCACGGGAATTCTGGAGATCAGTGGAGTGACTTGACAGGATTCGCGATTGCCAAACGATCTTTCAAACTCCCAAATCTTATGTATGTCATTGCATAGCAGGTAGAAAATTGAAGAATTCAGTGACATGAGATTGTAATTCCCCTCCTTTGTACAGTTGACTGATTATCACTAAGACAACCACTTGTATGCACGTTGCTGAGCTAATCTATATTGTGTGTTATTATTGTTCGTTCCCCATGTAGTAAATACCATATATATCCTTACTAATCTCTCAATTCATTCATACCGACCTGCAGTGTCACTACTATCTACATTACTCATTAAATACACAACATATTTAAGCAAAAACCAAATTGTCAAGTTGATTTGGCAAAACACATGAAACTACAATTACGAGTGTAAAATGGACAGAAACATCACATTACTCGTTAAGTTCCATAGCTTACTAGGTTTGACTCAGTCTACACCACTAATTAGTGGTATATGTTGGATTGTGCTAGCTTTATGATAGCTCGAGTTAGGCCATTCCTTGGCACGATACAACTTTTTTACCACACCTTAAAAAATTTATGTAGCTTTTACAATCTCTTGAAGTTCAAATAGAAGTCTTAAGTTATTTAAAAATAAATAAAAAGGTGATTTGCCCTAGATAGAATCTCCTAACTAGCTAAGCGGGGGTAACCTTCCGTTGGCCAGCTTCTTAGAGGGACTACGGTGTTTTAGGTTGCGGAAATTTGAGGTAATAACAGGTCTGTGATGTCTTTAGATGTTCTGGGTTGCATGTGCGCTACCATGATATATCCAAATAGTTTATAGCCTTGACAGACGGGTCTTCAATAATTTATGGAATTTCATCACGACGAGGGTAGATCATTGCAATTGTTGGTTTTCAATAAAGAATTTCTAATAAACGCGAGTCATCGGTTCGCGTTGATTACATCCCCTGTCATTTGTACGTTAAAAATAATTATTGATCGCTAATTGAAAGAGTCATCAGTTCGCGTTCAATTATTGATTACGTCCCCTGTAATTTGTGCATGAATTGTTTTAAACAGAGTGCGAATAATATCACTTTGTCAGATGAATTTGACATTTTGGATGACACATGAAGGTGTGGCAACAAGTGATCGGTTTTAAAGCTGTCTAATAACGTAACAAGGTTCACAGAGTGCAAACCTCTACAGTCAAGCTCGACACGATAAAATAAAGTACAGAGGCTAACCCTTTCACGTGCTGAGGAAGAAACAACATAAATAAATATCCAACAATATCCTGAAGTAATAGAAACAATAATATGTTCATATCAGTGTACTCTGGCATGTCTTAACCAAAGAGGGCTAATATAATTAGTGTGACGCCCACAAGATTTGTGAAAGCAAAACCAATAAATAGGGAAGGTCTGCATCATTACTTCTTTCAATTAATGCACAGACAACGAATACTAATAAACACAACACACAGGCTCATGGACTTGGAGTTGTGGTCTGATGTGCCCCACAAACCAAAGGCTTTGCAGGGATTCTAAGGCAACTGAGTCCATCCCCTGGAATCATAGAACAATCTGGTTCAGGTCTTTGCATCTGTTTCCCAGGAATACAATTGAATGAGAAATCAAATCCTATGTTCAATTTGTCACAATCTTGACTAAACCCAGAAAAGAAATTGGACGATACTGTCAAATTCAACAAGCTTCTCAGTTCACAAACCAAATCTGGTAATTCCCCAGAGAGCTTATTGTTTGCTAAATTCAAGACTTCAATTTGGCTCAAACATGATATGGAATCAGGCAAATGACCCATCAATGAATTTGAACTCACATCAAGAACTTGTAAATCACTCCATAATCCAACCCCTTCTGGGATGCAACCTGAGAGTTGATTATTGAGGAACAAGATTTCCTTTACTCGAGATCCCATATAGCCTAAACTGAAAGGAAGGTTCCCACTGAATTTGTTGTTAGCCAAATTGATAACAGAAGCTGGAGAGTTACCTAAATTCTGAGGAAGCTCTGAATCGAACTGATTGTTGTTCAACAAAATTGCATCAAGTTGTTTGTTGAAGAGATAATCAGGAATGGACCCTGAAAAACTGTTGAATCTGAGGTCTAAATACTTCAGATTTGGAATGTAAAGAACTGTAACAGGAAAAGGCCCCGAAAATTTGTTGTTGCTGAGATCTAACTCAGTGAGAAATGAGAATTCTTTGAAAGATTCAGGTACAGTGCCACTGAATCTGTTACTGTTGAGATGAATAAGAGATAAGCCAGCAAGTTCAGAGAGTTGTTTAACCAGAACTCCTTGAAGATTTGCATGGTTCAGATCTATTGCTGCCACAACTGGGCCAGTTGAATCTTGAGAATCTGCACAAAAAACCCCTTTATAAGTACACACATTTGAGCCCACCCATGTTCTCAAAATCCCATTTGGATCATCAGTAATTGCAGATTTCCAGGTCTGAAGAGCAGTGTATGCAGCATTGAGTTTCGACACCTGTGGTGCACCGGCTGAGGGAGTGTCTGGACTGGTGTTGATACCTCCACCCACGCTAATGCCACCGCCACCACCAACTCCGACGCCAATGCCACCACCTACATTGACTGCAGCCTCAGTAACAATTAATCTGAACAAAAAAATTGCTAGAATCATGATTTTCTCCATGTTCTGTAGTGTAAAATCTTGATAGGATGACCTATTTCTTGGGGTTTCTTGTAGCGTTCAGCAAATTAGGTTGATGCATTGATGATGGATGTGATTAAATTAATTTAATTCTACTATTTATATAAATATTTACCTTTTTGTGGGACTGAATTATTTTTGAAAAATTAAAAAAATAATAATAATATTTAGCTGTTGAGACATAAAATTCAAGACTGTTTCCATGAAAGTAGAATACAGCTTTTATTTCCTTTTACAACAGTACTTGACCAGTCAGTTTGTGGAAGCTGTTAATGGATTAGGATATTATTATATTAATCTGTAGATTTTGTGGCTGAAAATGATCCCTTGAAGAATAATTAACTGATTAAATCAGATAATGAAGAACAAACGGCCTTATTATGGCTCACTTTTTACATTCTCCAGTCATTATTTTTAGAAGATTTTTGGTTAAGAATTAATTTTTTGTTTCTTTTATTTTTGATATGGGGGGTTGATGGACCTACCTATGTTAACGAGCCGAGTCGAGACCGATCAAAAAAAATAAGGCTCGGGCCGGCTCGACCGAGCCCAGGTTTTTTGGGATTAATTATTTTTTAAGGCTGCAACAGGCAGCCTTTGCAGGCAGCTCTCTTTTAAAAAAAAATTAATTTTAATTTTTTTTTTCTAATGGACAAGATTGCCCAGACTCGAGCCGATACCCCAAAATGGGGCTCGGTCCGAGCAGGGCTTGGCCCCAAAAAACCTAGTCGGGCTTTTTCCGGATCGAGTCCGAGCAGACGAGTTTTTTTGCGATGGACCTACACATTCACATAAAAAATTATTCGATGCATGTTTTGCAAAAATATGGTTTAAAATATTTGTCTCGAGTATAATAAGATTTCGTTGTAAAATCGAAAAAAAAAAAACCTCAACTCAGCAGTACTATTTCCCCACATAGATTAAAGTGCTGCAATTATTTCCCAGTGCTCATATGGGAAACAGCCCTGAAACCATAATGGCTACTTCCCCATTCACACCAACAATTAATTTCAATAATTACTTATCTTTAATTTAGACCAATGAGAAATTAATTATCTATTTATAAGTAACTTTTTTGAATTTACCCAAACATGCATTCACATTTAAGTGTATTTATGGAGTACCATAATGAATGTACCTAATAGGTTGATAGGAAGACATCAAATCGTTTGTACTGTTTATAGATTCGGTTTATTCTATCAAAATCTAACACCGAGAATTTTTATAATTGATCCGAAAAAATATTGTCCAATGTAAGACTTTCTACAAAAACTCAACTCGCATCTTCAATTGGCTCCAAGAACCAAAAGACAAGCATAGCTATATAGTCAAAGCATCTTTGTTACTTTCGTGTACCCGTCATACTCCAATTTTTTATAAGATTTCTTAGGGACAAATACACTTTTGAGTAATTTACCGAATGTCCGGAACTTTTCATTAACCAAAAATCTTTTTTTCCACAGGACTAATTCACTGATGCACAAAACCTTTCTTCTTGTTTTTCATNTTTTCCACAGGACTAATTCACTGATGCACAAAACCTTTCTTCTTGTTTTTCATGAAAATTTTTATTATTCGGTTAGCATTCACAATTGAACGTTTCTTTATTGACACGTGAAATTGCAGCTTTCAATTTTTTTTTCGTTTCCTTTTTCATTTTTTGATCTCAAAATTATTAGGGTTCATGTGAATCGCCTAATTAGTTTTGAAATGGGTGGAGTTTCAACTAATGTAAGTACAAATGATTGGAAAAGAGGTCCAATATGTGTCCCCCGTTTTTGTCTTCCACGCGCAAATTCGATTGATTACTAATTCTAATGGTTGATAGTGACATCATAGGCGCAATTTTAACGGGTGGCTACCATCTTCTTTTGTCCAAGAAATTAGGGTCCGTTTGATTGTAAGGGTGGAAAATGAGTGGAAAGAAATGTTTTACAGGGAATTGATTTTCTTAGAAAATATTTTACTGGGAATTGTAATTAATTGTGTTTGATTGGTATAATTTTCCATGGAAAATGTTGAAAGTTTGGTGTCCATTTGGT